AGCACCTCCTGCGACACTGCTGGCCACACGGGCAGTGATCCGAGACACCTGCTTCAGAAGCACAGCATCTGGTTAGGTAGCCTTCCCTCAGGAAAATGAGGATCCTAGCACCATGTGGAAAAGAAGCATATGAAACCACCAGTAGGTACTTTAGAATAGGGGTCAGCAAACTTTGACCTGTAGGCCAAATCTAGCCCAACCACCTGTTTTTACACAGCCACGAGCAGAGAACAGCCTTTACAGATGTCCACTGGCAATTGATCAATTAAATGATAGAGAACACTAACTTTAAACCTCAGTTAAGAATTTCATTCTTATTAGTAGACTTGAATTACAAAGTGTACTCAATTATTATTTTCCTATTTTGACTTCTGTCATTCAATTTTATTTCTCATCATGTAAGTCTCTACAAAATATCTTTGATTTTGCTTCCTGGGCTGCTCAGAGATATTCAGACTACATTCGACACCTCACTGAATCCCCCCACAGGTATCACACGTGTTCCGGAAGCTGGGCCTCTCCCAGTCTGCTTTTCTCTACCTCTGCTGACCAGCAGCCTGGCCATTTCCTCAGCTAAGCTGGAATCCTCAGTTGCTCTTCATTTTTGCTCTCCCTCTTCACAGATCCACTCTCAGCAATCCATGAAACAAAAGTCCTCTTGATCCCTCACATACCCCAGGAATGTGGTCCCTCCTTCTGCCCTGCCTCTCTTTACCCTCACAGAGATTAGCACCCTACTCCGCCTTTCCAATCTTTACTCCCAAGATGCTGGGCATCTTTCTAACAATCCTGACATGCATTTCTCTAGTTAAAGTCTTTACTGGCTCTCCGTCCATTCAGCGGAGCAAGTCTGGACTTCGTCAGGCTAATGGCTTTGAGGGCCCCCAGTGTTCCAGTGACGTGCAGAATACAGCAGAGTGTTCTGAAATCTGAGAATTTCATTACTTGGAAGCAGTGACCAAAGGTTTAGAACATACAACTGGTTTCTTTGAGCATGTCTGTCAGCCTCGTGTGTTGTTGGGCTGGGTGCAGATGGGAGATGCAAGGCTTCTGAGCCTGCCTGGCCATCACCCAGCATGCTTACCTCAAAGCCAACTTTTTTTCTGTGCGCTTGCTTTCTTTGTGAAAAATGGTTCCCCAAAAGAAAGCCAATTCTAGGGATAGTGACAGAAGTGATAAGAAAGGGAAGTATAAGAGTGATTGCTCTTGGGCAGAAACCAAGTCTTAAATAAGAGAGTTTCAGGTTTAGTGGCTAAATCTATGACCTAAGTGGAGCCCCATGAGCTTTAAATGGAAATGAGAGCGAGAAACTTATGAAGCATTGTCAGCTAGAACAAAACTGGTTTACCAAGAGAGAAAGAAAACTTTAAGAGAAGGCAAAAGGGTTTGTGCGATAGGGACGTACACATGAAACACATGACTCGACAGAAGTCTGATCAGGAGAAAGTTATTTTAAGAGTCTTTAAATGACAAATATTCCTTTATTTATGAATTAAGGGTTTCAACAGATCACAAAAATTTACTCACAATTTACTACATTTTGTAGAAGTAATTATATATTGTAGTGAGTTTTGCAAATTTAGGGATTAGGAGCTTACAGGCCATGCCTCAATATTAAAAGCCTGCTGGGCTCCTGTTCTGGAAACAGTCAATGCCCTCCATTGCCCTGTCTGGGCTTTTCCAGTGCAGTGACTGCCATGTGTCTCCCCCTTTCCCCTTCTTTCAACTGGTAGGCTCTCATGCAACCCTGACTCCATGCAAAAGGTTAGCTCCTTAGTTAGCCAGGCTCCCCGACTGAGCCTCCACTGCATTGCTGTTGATAGTCGGCCTTTCCCATACCTTCTAACAGATGGACCGACCTTGCTCTTGCAGCTGTCTCCATGCTACAGGCATGGGCCCGCAGGGTGTGGGCACTTAGATGAAGGAAGGAACCCATGCAATGCCACTGGAGCGGCCTTTCCTACAAAGCTGTACAGATCCGCTTCTATGCACATTTGGGCAACAGCTGAATGAGAGTGAGTTGCTTCAGTTTTCAAGATGTTCCTCCCAAAATAAAGTTGCACATGGAGCTCCAGGATCTAAATGGCTTTTAAAGCATGATCAGGGCTATGGGAGTCCCATGAGTCCCAAGAAGCAGCCTTTGGGAGGAGGCATGGAGGACACAGGTTAGTGCCAAACACAAACTCACCAGCTTCCCACTTCTCCTAGGGCTCACTCTGCTGCTGTGTTTGTACAAGGTGGCTGTCTCAGTCCAAAGCAAAGGGACATCCAAACTTCTTATGGTAATTACATGTAGCCAAAGACGAGGACACAAATCATCTTTCTGATTTGCATATTGACACAAAAAAAACTATTCCAGTTGGGATAAAAGAGTGACAAGATATTTGAAATTAGGGTCAGGCTGGATAATCAGGGGTGAATGGTAATTATAGCAGAGCCAAAAAACAAACAAACCCTCATAACCGTGGCTAGTGTGTCCACAGGAAACAGCTCCTGGGCTCCCTACTAACTACCTGCTCCTTTGCCTGCAGTTTCCCCTCTGTAAGTGCAATGGCTTCACTTATTTGTTCTTTCTGCTGCCACCATGGCTCCTTTGCCTACATTCGTTTTTCCCCAGCCCAAATATGAGTTGGAGATAGTTTCCTAATTTCTTCCCCACTGCACTCTACTTTCTTATCTCAGTGGTTGCCACACAGGTGTGTATACACAGGTAAATAGTCACTGGTTCTCCAGTTAAGATGTGTGCATGTCATTCTACGTCGGTTATATAGTTTAATAAATACCTCGTAAAGAATAGCTCTGTATATCAGAATTAATAACAGAGAGGGGGAGAGGGAGAGAGACAGAGAGAGAAAGAGAAAATGATAGCGTTACATTAAACATTTTTCTGGGTTAAATAGAAGCGGCAAGCTATAAAGCCAAATGAATACTCTGGCGACAACTATGAAAACACCGAATAAAAGGAAAAGCTAAATTTTAAGTGTCTGTGTTATGGTCGGTAAGGTGTAGATTTTCTATAATGTGGCTTCATTGTTTTTATAATAAAAAACATGATCTGAGATATGAATAATAGTAATCTATTGTGGTGGAAATTCAATTCTTTTATCTTTGAACATGTGACATTTTAAATGCCCACCAGAATCGCATGTATGATTTTATTATAACTTTAGCCAAAACTTTTGAGGAAAATAATCTCTAGTTAAAAAAAAAAAAAATCAATTGGAAAATTGGCTTAGATATGCAAAAGTTCACTATACTTTTCAAAGCAAACATTTTGTAAAGTGAGTCATAGTTGTATTGATTAAGCTTTCTGAGATGAAAGTTCTCTTTCAAATTACTGGGGTAACAATTACTGGAACAGTAATTTACTGAAGACCCAACTAAAGCAGAATTTACAGACTGGATGTCAAACACATGAAAATCATCAGGAGTGCTAGAGATAGGTATGTTTCAAACTGTTGGAAGACCAATGCCTTCTAATGAGAATCTTACAGGGTTCTTGGATCCCTTTAAGGCACTAGAAGTGGCCTGAGAGTCTTGGCCATCTGCACTGAACCCTGCTACTTTACATCAGGATAGCTGAAGACCCACTCACCTGTTGTTGGGCAGGGAGGTTACGGTGCCATTCTGTTCAAGTGAGGTCTCTGCTGGTTTGGATTTGAAGTAATTGACGAACCCCCCAAACACACTCTTAATGCTGTTAATGTGCTTCTGGCTGGTCTTCAAATCTTGATCCATCTTGTCCACCATCTTCTCTGTGCGTTCTAAGACTCCTCGCTGACGGACGAGCTCCTGCGGAAAATGAGAGGCAATGGTATTTCATGTTTTTGTGATTTTTCTTCTACCTGTAGAGGACCACACACAGCAGGCTCTTCATAAACCCCCAGTGAGCACATACAAGGACAGATGCTGGCATTTGTGTGAGGCACACTATCCTTTCTGACAACACATATTTTTGTCTTCCCCACTCTGCCTTACCTCTATTTGCTTTTGAGTCCCTTTCCCCTCCTGCCACTATGAGGTCAGCTCACAGGACCACATTAGATGGATAAAGTGTGCTTGTGGGGATCAGACTGCAGGGCTTCCACTGGCAGCAGACCTGCTCTAGCTCTTCCCCAGCCCTGGTCACCCTTACAGGCTTTGACCTAGCACTGCCCCGTGGACTATGGTTTTGTACTTCCTCTTTTCAGATATGGGAGTTCCCATTGAGCCACCTGGCTCAGGTCATGTCTTCAAACTCTATTTTGTACACTAGATTCTAGGGTCCTTTCTGGGCCCTGTTAATGTCTGATTCCAGTTACTGCATAGTTGCACCTTTAAAACTTCTAACAAGGGTGACCCTTTCAGAAGGCCTTTCCACATGCTACTTTCTCTGCCAATAATGCTTCTCTTATCCAGGTACTTGCATGACTCTCCTCCTCACTTAATTTGGAACTCCACTCAGAGGCCACTTCCCTGAACATCCTCGCTAAAGCTGAACTCCATCTTTGACCCTCAACCCTCCACTCTCCACCCTTGACCTGCTTTAGTTTTAGTTTTCTTTACAGCAGGGACCTGCTTTATGCACTGCTGTTTCTAGTGCCTCAATTGGAGCAGTTGCTCACTGTAAATTTGCCAAATAGGCACACGAATGATGCTCTGTGACCACGGGGACAGCACGGACCTTATTCCTCAAGAGCTGATGCTTCTGGCTGTGGATGTGAACTCACCACCAAAGCGACACTAACACTTTCATTTGTGCCAAACTTGCTTCAGTCCCTTTTTCAGGCCATTCTAGCATGTTTCCTCCATATGATCTGCCTTTCCAACCAGAAGGCTCCCAAGCCTCTCAAGCTTTTCTTCTTTCACCTCATAAGGGTGGCTCCGGTCCTTAGCTGCCTTCCTCTCAATCTTCTAACCTTGCATCTCCCTGTGGCTCAGCAATTTTATTAACTGTGCAAATAATCTTTAGAGATGTTCTCTCCTGATACCTAAAAACAAAGTCATGAACAATTTAAACAAACACCCTGGAAATTTGAAGAAAATATAAAACTATAGATAATGTGTTTGAGAGCCCATTTCAGATACAAAAGTGTTAAGAGAAAGCTTTCAAGACATTTAGGGGCTCAATGTATAATCTGAATTCTTAATGTTTACCAGATGAAATTTAAAAATAATGTATAGACAAAAAGCTAAAGCATTGGTTGAATTTACTATTAAATTCTGTGTAAGTCTTGTTGGAAATAAACTTAAACTGCTGAGCTTTACAGCTTTGAACATTTAAACATTTTTTCACCAGCTCAGGAGACATGTCTGAAGAAACCATCAGACTTTTTCAAGTAAAAAGAAAAATGTTTTCTGGACTGTGTTTGTTAATATGTCAAGCAAATTTTGTAAGGGTTAATTTTCAGGGAAAAATAGATCTGCTAATTTATCTAGAGTTTCCACTTCTTCCAACACTTTAAGTTTGTCATTTTCACATCCATTCTAAGTTTTTTCTAGAACAAAGGAGAGCTATAAATTAGGATTAAAATGATTTTCTCCCACATTCACATGTTTTCTGAGTTGATACATTTCTAACAGTCCAGTCTTACCCAGCTTATTTCACATACTGCAGAAGACAGAAGAATTTGAAGCTGGAGAGGCACTTAGGACAGCCAAGGATGGAAGTGGTGGCCAGGGCTCAGTTGTCCGCCAGGAGGCAGGTTCTCGGTTTCCCTGACAGTGAGCTCTCCCATCACAGCTTGGCTTGTCTCACCACTACTTGCCTTCCCACCATGGCCTCTCTACATCAATTTGGAGAGTCACAGCAGTAACAAGTAGCTGACAATATCTTCCTCATTTCAGTGAGATTTTATTTTTTTCTGTTTGCAAGTGACACAGTCTCTCAAATTCTCAGAGTTTGCATCACTGTGCTGACTTGGTATGGAAACCAAATGTCTGATTTAGATATTATGACAGAAGTGCAGAGAAATATGTAGGGGTGGCTTATCCTGCTGTCAGGCTGGAAGGCCAGAAAATGAGTGCCGTTCTGTTCTCTGGAAGTTTCTGTGAGCTGGAAGCTTGTGTTTACCAGAGGTGATCTGCTGGTCAGGAGGCCAGCATAGGAGGAACTTCTGTTAAAATCCTCCCCCAGGGGCAGAGGAAAGGACTGACTCCATGTGCCTGTGACCTAGTTCTAACCAATGAGGAAGAAAGGTTTGACAGAGCAAACACCAAGAGTGCCAGGACAGAAAGGGCAGGCTAAGCAGGCCCTGTACCCCAGCCATTACGAAGGCAGGCCTCAAATGCTCCTGTTCCACAGAAAGGGGGCCATGTCACATCTTCTCCATTGGTTCCTGTGAGAATGGGAACTGGCCGAAGAGACCAGGGCGGCTGGGAGTTCTGCAAAGTGCCCTCAGTGTAAAGGGCACACATGCAAGGACTTAGCTCAGGTGTTAGTATTACAGGTGATTCCCTCTCTCCCTTGAGCCCCAAAAGAAATTTCCTAAAGTTAAACTGGAAAAGAAGATGGTCAGAGAAAAAAATCTGGCTGGTAGTACAATGCTGAGGGACAACACAGAGAGAAGGAGTATCTCAATTCCTCTTTGGCTTGTGACTTTCTGTCAAGCACAGGGATTTCTGATAGAAAAAAGGGAAGTAGAAAAAGACAGCTGAAGACTCTGTGAGGGCATATACTGCCCGACATGAGGTGACACTTGACAGATGGATTATGTCCAAGGGCCCTGTGAGGACATGAAGACATCAGAGAATCATGACTGGCAGAGTGCTCTTTGAAAACACACACACAATGACAGAGGTGCTGCAAGATACCTGCCAACAGGTATTACCTAGCACCCACTCTCTCTCTGCCAGGCTCTGTTCCAGGTGCATGGGATTCAAGGGTGAACTAAACAACCCCAAATGTCTGGCCTGATGGAGCTGACAGTCTAGTGGAGGGCAAGATGAGGAAAGTTCCATCTGACTTTTCATTTTCTGACAACACTGCAGTGGTGGGAATCTGAGAAAGGCAGCTGGTTCCTTGCTTCACTGAGCTTAGTCTCTTGGGAGAGACAGAAAAGAAAGCCATCATACACATGCATGATTTAAGCTCTGCCAGGATAAGCCCCTCTCAAGGATTCCTCAACCTGGATTAGAGGGGGTCAAGTAGGTTCCCTGATGGGGTGAGAAACTGAAAGCTGAGAAGTTAGGGAGTCAAAGGGTTGGGGTGGAGCAAGAGCATTCGGGCAGAGGTAGCAACCAGAGCAGCTGGAGGAACTGAGAGAGAAAGAGGAACTGTGTGCGGTGAGCGTGAAAGGGAGCAGGCGGGGATGCCTGGCAGGACCCAGAGGGGATCACCGAGCGGGTGGAGCTATGGCTTTCCAAGGGCAGCAGGGACCACCAGACCCCAACCCCAATTCACAGCCAATAAATCTTATAACATCAGATAGGTCTCAGGGTCTTCCGTGCCTGAGCCATGCCCGGAACTCCTGAGAGAAAGGTGTCTGTACTAAGTTTCTCATACTAAGCTTATAATTAAACTTGGGTATCGAAATGATAAGTAGGCAGAAGTCAATTTGGAGTCAAAAAACTGAATCTAGAAACTTGAAATTTATCTTCATTACATAGCTCCTCTTACAACAGAGCATACATATGTACAAGCACTGACAGAGATGCATGAGCAAGTGTGGAGCATGTGTAAAACTGGGCTCTGTCTCACTGCAGTAGCATGTGAGTCTCAGAGCATGTCTCGTAGCAGTGGCATGGAGTGATTCAAAAACACAAATCGAGTTTTAGGTTGCACAAAAAAACACTAAGGGCAAAGATGGTACTGCTAGAGCCCCTCATGGCGTGTGTGCAGGCTGACCTGGGGCCCAGTAAAGGGCTAACTCAGCAAACCTGGGCTGTCCACATCCTGCACATTCCAAAGAAAGGGCTGTCTGGCTCCTTGCCCTTGACTTACCCTGCTCTTGCTCCACCCCACTCCTTTGATTCCCTAACTTCTCAGCTTTCAGTTTCTCACCCCATATCCCCACGTTACCCCCTCTAACCCAGGTTTATCAGGGTAAAGAGTGTCTTTGTTTATCTGAGTCCTCAGGCCAGGCCAGATAGTTTATGCTAACAATGTTATTTATGATGGGTGCCTTGGGCCACATGCTTACTTTCCAGAAGGGTTGGAGACTAAGGTCAGCCAGGCAGCCATGTAGTCATGGCTGACTCCCAATAAAATCTCTGGACTCCCTGACTTAAGTGAGTTTCTTTGGCTGGCAATACTCTGTGTGGTGTATGTTGTTGTACATCATTATTGGGAGAACTGAATGTTGTCCACACAACTCCATTTGGAAAAAACAATTAGAAGCTAACGCCTGGTCTCTTTTGGACTCTGTCCTACAAGACTTTTTTGTTTGAGGATTTTAATCTGTATCCTTTCACCGTAACAAATCATAACCATAAGTGTAACAGTTTTGTTGAGTTCTGTAGTCCTAAGGAATCACTGAACCCGAGGGTGATCTTGGGGATCCTCAAACAACACCTCCAACAGCACTTCCTACTCTCAGAACCATCAACTCAGAGGCAGAAGGCTGGAGAGAACACAGCCCCTTAGCTTCCCTCAGCACATGACCTGGTTAGCAAAGCAAGGTCTCTTGGGACAATATGGACATTTCAGCCATCAATGGACATTTCAGGAAGGAGCAGCATATATAGCCAAATGCCACAACTCCAGTGTGGGATATCTGATGTACCTGAACAGTACATCAGTCTTGTTACAGTTAAGGAGCCAGAAAATTTGTCTAGGATCCAAGAACTTTCTAACAGTTGAATTCAACCATTGATAGTTTATGAAAAATAAATAAATCCAGAACAGACCTACTGGTGAAAATGTGAACCAATGACATTTCTCTATCAGAGTCCCTTAAACCTGGTAGAAATAGCCTGAAGTGCCAAATGAGGCATTTTCTGGTCATCAGGAGTAGGATTTCATCCAGTCAGAGCTCAAATCATTCTTCCCACCTCAATCTCTCTTTCATGTCCAATCAATCCTCTGCTCCCTCCTCTTCTTTTTCCTTCCCTTCCCCAGAGCATTTATTCGCCTGGCAACTATTTGGGGAGCACCTGATGACATAAAGGACACTGTGCTTAGATATGAGAGAATAGAAGGTTGAGCAAGAGACTGTTCCTCCTCTACAGCTGACTCTGAGAAATCTACTGGGGAATTGCTTAACATAGCAGATGTCTCCCTGCTCCACTTGCTTTTGTGTCAGGACAGTGTTGTGCTACAAACTCTGGCCACATCAGAACCACTACAGGCTGCCTTAGAGAAGAGGCTCTGGTCAGTATGGCCCCTCATTTGGATTGGGAAAGGCTCTGCTCAAGACCAGTTTCCCAGAGAATGTGGGCACCACCCTAAGTTATGGAGATGCCCTGAATAGATAGCCACCATGACCACTGTTCCTGGGTTAGGAGGATGTTTTTCTCTCATTCACCTGACTTTAATGCCCAATGTGGCTTCAGTGACTGTTGAGTGCTGGAAAGACACTGAGAAGGTGAGTGCGGCCCCTGCATGAAACAGTGTTCAGGATGTATGGGCTAGGGTGGCAGAGTGCATCACGTTTGAATCCTACCAAACACTACTTCCTTCCCACTGATGTTACTGTGCCAGCTGTTCAGACCTCAGTCTAACATTTGTTGCTGGATTCCCATGAACTGAGATCCCTGGCCCCATAAAACTTCACTAGAGCATGGACAGCTCACAACCAGAGAGAACGAGAAGTACTCTAGCCAGGAGGGTCTCCTCTGCCAGGGTGGTGAAAAGGGTGTATTAAAACCGCGTCCAAGTAGAACATAAACAGGCTCACCCAAAGGTGCAAACGACTCAAATGACCATCATCAGGGGACTGGCTACATAAATAGAAGCCATCATTCAATGGACTACGGCATAGCTTAAAAAAAAAAGGAGCAACACATTATATACTGCTATGGAACAACTCTAATCCTATTAAGGAATGTGCAGATTTGAATGTATAGCATGTTTCTGCTTAGGTTAAAGTTGAAAAAAAAAGGAAAAAGGCTATAAGTATGCCTTTGTACACAGACTATCTCCACAGTGAAGGAACTGACAGAAAGTGGCTGCTGTGGGGGCAGAGGGTGAGGGAAGACTTCATAGAACTCTGTATGTTTTGAATTTCGAACCATGTGATTAGACTGTCACTTCATAAAAATTAAACCTTAGAGGAAAAAAAGAAGAAATAAGTCACACTTACAAAATAGAAGAGCTGAGTGGCCTACAAGTCTCTCTATAGTTCTGGACTGTGCTTAGCAGAACAGCTGGGTGCCAACCTGCTCTTCCTTGCCTACTTCTCCTCTGTCCTTTGGCAGTCATGACCTGTGGCTAGTTTTTGTGAGAAATCTTGCCAGGTTTCACAGGAGAAGGGCAGCTCTCCTTTGCTAGAGGTGTTGACTAAGTAATTACCCTACTTCTGCCAAGCCGGGACTGGATTATGACCTCTCCAAACCAATATTATTTGTAAGCTCCTGTCTTCTATAAAAATCTGTCATGTTCTGGCAAGTTTCATTGTGCTGGGTATCTGGTAGGCATCCATCTAAGTTGGGAGGTGGGAAGGTGACTTGGGTCTGCTGGGAGTCACCCTGTACACTGAGTGGCAGGAAAAGCTCGCCTGTTTCAGACCCCCATTGCCACTCTAAGGGGAATGAAAGAGTGATGAGGGTGATTCAAAGACAGTTTGGAGAATATGGGGTAGGGGTACTGACCATTCCTGCCTCTGGTAATTGAGAACTGATTCAATCCTGGAAAATTCAATGTGTAATCATGCTAATGAGACTGTCACCTGTCTAGTCACAATCATAGTGTACTTTTCACAGTAACGCCAGCTTGGCCCAGGCAAAACCCTCACAGAGTGCCTGAGGTGCCACTCTGAGTCTGCTCTCACAGTCCCCACTGCATACACAGAAAGACCTCTGGGGGAAGCATAGGGTGTATACAATCCGAATGAAACAACTCACATCTACTATGTTTTTGGCTCCCTTGAGTTATGAGACCAGACCTTCTCTCTGACCATGAAAGGGTCCTAAATTGCCTCATCCAGGCCCTTACCCAGTGATTCACGACCTGTGAATCACTTCCCTGCACAGGAGCCCAGGAGCTCCGGTGCTGGACCAGTGCCTCACACGACCTGTGAATCACTTCCCTGCTCAGGAGCCCAGGAGCTCCGGTGCTGGACCAGTGCCTTTGCATTCCTCCTCTCTTCCTGGGATCATCCCTCCTCCTCCTCCTTCTCTTCACTCCTCTTGTCTAAACTTTAGCCTTAAAAGCCAGATTCAAGTTTATTCTCTGCCATGACACCAAACTTCATAGCATTCTGATTTCCTACTTCATTTTTTCCTCACTGTTTCCAAAAATGACTCTTCAAACAGTTCTTAGTTGGTTTCCTTGGGCCTGGAACACTCAATCTAGTGATCTTATCACAAGAGCCCTCAGATAATCCAAATCTAAATCAACATTTTCCATTTAGACTCCAACGCAGGAATCCTGTAGATCTGAGATGTTACGAACTACAAGCTAAACTTCCTCAGCAAGGCTAAAGATAAGAAAGTGGGCCAATGAGGAATACTGTAACAGGGAAGTAGCCAAGGGAAATCACCCAAAAATGGGCAATGGAGAAATCATGGCGATGACTGTTTGAGAAGTTAATCAATATACCTCAAAACTCTCCAAGACCATAAGTAATCAGGTCAGAATGAACTTTGCCAGAGAAAAGAATTGCAAGGAGACCCATGGAGAAAGAGGACACTTTAGCTTCCAGCATTACATTTCAAAGCTACATAAGCTTAATTTTTCTTAGCTGACATATCAATAATCTACTATTACATTTTTTAAAACTTAAAAAAAAAAATGCCATACAAAACCACTTCACTAGTAGGCTGAGAAGAGAATGTGGGGCCTAAGAAAGAATAATCCTCGAGGTCCTACTCTGAAGTCTTCTATGGATGGAAAGAGCTGACAAAAGTAAATTGGAGCAATGGACTGTCTCAATCATACATTTATTTAGAGCTTTGGATTTGACAAGACCCTAGACTCGATCAAATCCAGGCTCTGGCTTACTCGAGCAGCTTTCCAGGAAGACAAGACCTCAACACCTCTACTGGTAAAGTGGAGAAGTGATCAGTGATGGGAAAGAATTCAAGGCCCATTTCCTCTGAAGCTTCAGACATCAGGACACACACAGACGTCACTCGTTCCGGGTCACTCAGGGAGGAATGGCTGAAGCCCTGGGGCCAGGCTTCTGACCAAGAAATTATGTAAAAGAAACAGACTCTCCATTTCCTTAACCCTGGCTCTGCTGTTCAGAATTTTTACTTACCTGGACAGTACAATGAAGAGAGTACCTTTGAATGAGGAGTAGAAAAAATCAACTAAACAGACTAATGGCTAAAGAAGATTCTCGGGATGCAGACAGCCTCTTTCATGAACTCAAGAGGCACATCTCTTTACACGGTTAACAAATTATTACAAATCATCAAGTCACTAAAGTACAAGAATCTACTCTAGCCAAGTCGATAATTCCCCAAAGATCGTGAATAAAACATTTCTTGAACCCGTGTGACTGGCCGGTCCAGCCCAGCGCTGTTCCAGACTCACCTCAGAAGAGGCGACCCCGATCTTCTCGGACTCATACATGAGGGACAGGGACCTGCTGGTGCTGGCGGCCATAGTCTCGGCCCTGCGCATCACCTCCTGCCGCAGGTACTGCTGTCTGTCGGTAGGCGCGCCGGATCCGTCGGGGAGGTCGCGGGAGTCCTTCCACGCGACCGGCGGAGCGCCCTCATCCTCTACGTCGTCATCGAACGGGTTGTAACTTTTGGGGTAGGCCGACATGTTGCCAGCGCTCGGCTCGGTCTAGGCAAGAGCAGGAGGTGCGCGGCCGAGGCGAGAAACTGCCTTTCCGGGATCGCAGGGGACCCAGCCGCCTTCCCGAAGCCCTCGGGAAGCGCCCACCTTATAGCCAACCTCGGTCTAGAGTCACACTCTTCCTGTCGACGCCGCAGACGCAGCGCGAGTTTCTTTCGCACGTCGAGGTGGGCGGCCCCGCCTTCGGAGCCGACCATTGTGCCCAGCGGCTTGGGGAGGAACAAACCCGGCGCGCGTGGCCACTGCTAACTGCACAACTTCTCTCCCCCCTCCAGCAGTGAGACCGCCCTGCAGCCCCGCCCCGCCCAGTACCGGCAACAGAGAGGTCACGTGG